TTTTTTTATAATGCTCTTGTTACAGCATTGTACAGTCTAAGGATTTTTCCTATCCCAATTTTTACATAACTAGTATGGGTGGTTTGAGAGAGCAAGATGATTTTCAGAAATGTATGTATGGAGTTATAACAGAAATTCCTGTATTAGCCAATTAGTAGAATGTAGACTTTTCTGAATTTTTGTTTACACACACAGTAAATGTTTTATCCTTGCTGTTACTGAACATGTCACACACAGGACACATTTTGTGACTCAGGAGGCATGATGGGAAATCATTCATTAACAACAAAATATTTCTCATGTAAATATTTTGGATTCCATGCAAAGTAGAAACAAAGGCTGAGACTAAAAGTTTTGCTTTCCTGTGAGAAAGTGAAAACATCATGATTGCTTTTTACATTGCTTCTCTTGGGAGAGAAGGAGACATAAATAAGACCGAAAGATACATAACCACATTACCCATTGTATTCACCATAGCATAATAAATTGTATTCTATAAAGGTCCCACATTTTCCATCAAAGGGGAATGAACTGAACAGGATTCCATTTCCCACTGTTTATTTCTAGTCCTATAACTTGTAACTAGATAAACTAGGTCTAGTTCAGGAGGCTAGCATTTCCCACCTATCAGGAAGTGTGTGACACAACATATAGCAAACTTGTGCTATATCTGCCATTTCTATTTCCTGGAGGGGGGCAGAGCATCACACAGCCCAGGATCTCTGCCTGTACCTCTTGAGCACAGGGTTCAGAATTAAGATCTGGATTTGAGATTGAACATAGGACATTTTACTCAAGAGAAGACCTACCAATATGCTGATTGCCAGTGTGCTGAAGGCAGTCATAGCCTCCATCTGTCTTGGTAAGGATGGCACAAACACAGTGCTCAAGCTCCTCTCAGTACCAGAGGTTGTGGGAGAAGCAAATCATTGTTGTCTGTGGAAGTTTAAAAGGAGGATAATGGGCAATGGAACCAGAGTGCTGGGTCCAAAGCCACTTCATCCCTTTTACCCTCATGGTTACAGTCTATTTCTTTTCTCTTTCTTGCAGGATCCAGCATGACCCAGAAAGTAATTCAAGCCCAGTCTGCAATTTCTGTGGTGGAGAAGGAGGCTGTGGCCTTGAACTGTGCATATGAAGTTAGCAGTTACAATTATTATTTGTTCTGGTACAAACAACCACCAAGTGGGAAAATGACTTTTCTTATTCACCAGGAGTCTTATAAAGAGCAAAATACCACAGAGGGTCGATATTCTCTGAACTTCCAGAAATCAGCCAGTTCCATCAGCCTCACCATCACAGACTCACAGCTCAGGGACTCAGCGGTGTATTTCTGTGCTTTGAGAGATGCCACAGTGATGTGGGTGCCTGTGGGGGCCCCGCAAAATCATCAACATGAGAGAGAAGCCCTGGGGAGGGACTCCATCACAGACAGGATGAAGCAGGGGCTGTGTCAACACAGGTGGGGGGCTGGCAAGGAAACTTTAGTTCAATTCATACAGAATGTGTAGATATATCATCCATTAAAAGCAAAGGGATCTCTCATTCTTTAGAACACATTAAGATAGAATATATAGCACATTAAATATTATTTTTAAAAAGGGCAACAAGAAAAATGTAATCTTTTGTTGGTTTTATTGAGATGGGAAAATGATCTAGTTATCTTTAGACCAAATAGGTGACTCCACTGATGTGTTGTTAAAACTTCAGAATCATTCATACATTTATGAATTAACTCTCATGTCAAATGCTTTGATCTACTTGAAATAAAAATGCCTTTCATTGATTTTTCTTAAAAAATAGTATCATTACTCAATGAGGTAGAATAAATTATTTAATTTAGATTTCTTTCTATAATCCTACAAACGACCTTTTGCACAACAGAATAGATTTGAAATGTTCCTCAAGTTACCTTTCTTTGGCTCCTCCCTTTTTGTGACATTATCGTGATTTTTTATAAAGCATCAGAATGTGTTGCTCTCGTGTAGGAGCTCCCTACAGAGAGAGATGTTTAAAGTGGGAATTCGTCCCAACCTGTCCCGTCTTTTGCATTCCCTTCCCCGACCCCACCCGGCCCCCAGCAGCCAGGGTCAGAATGACAGCTGCATGGCAACCAGGGCCTGTCTGGTATTGCCCAGTGCCTACTTCCTGTCCAAATATATGTTTTTTGCAGATGTTACACTAGGTGCTAAGGAGCAAGGATTTTCATTTTCAATGCCACACTTATGTCTAAAAACCTCTGAGTTACTTGTCAACATTAAGAAATCACACATCACCCTGGCTGGTGTGGCTCAGCGATTAGAGCATCAGCCTGTAGACCAAAGGGTCACGGGTTCGGTTCCTGTTCAAGGGCATGTACCTGGGATGCAGGTTTCATCCCTGGCCCTGGTCAGCATGTGCAGGAGGCAACCAATCTCTCTCTTCCTTCCTTCCACTGTCTCCACAAAAAGAAAAAAAAAATCAATGGGAAAAAAAAATCCTCATGTGAAGATTAACAATTAAATAAATAAATGAATATCAGACATCACATTAAAACCTGAATTTCTAGGTTCTCTTTAAAAAATCTAGGAGCATGAGATTCTCTGAGGTAGAGGTCAAAAGTTCTGTTGAATACAAACCGACTTTAATGTAGTCTTATTTCATTTTAAAAATCTGTGCATTTGCCATTCACAATATGAATTAACCTTAAAGTAAAAATTTAAATTATTGGTTGTAATATATAAGCTAATCCACAAGACAAACAAATCTGAATTAACATGTCATTTAACTAGGGCTACTTTCTCCCCGATATTTCATCTATCAGAACACGTGTTCCACTTTGATAAGCTCAAGTCTATCCATTAGTTCATAAGACCTTTAGTTCTATGGTAAGTATTAGGGAAACATTAGTTAGCAAGACAGTCGTGGTTTCTGCCTTTATTGGAGATACCATTTTCCAGTGGTATCCAGTATGGAATAGAGGCAGAAAGAACTGCAAACTGGAGTTTTAGAGCTTGTTACACAAATACTCTATGTGACCTTAAGCAAGCTGTTAACTTCTCTGAATCTGTTTCCTCATCTGTAACGCGTATAGGTTTAATTAGGAAGTTGTTGTTGAATAGCCCATTCCAAAATTTGACTAGCCTCACAGGATCACCTAGTCCACTGTTATTTTTGAGTTCCTAACACATGCTACCAATCCCCCTTTATTTAGGAAAGTACTACTAGGTGCTTTAGAACTAGCCATGGTGCTCCACACATTGCATGATAATGTCCTGATAATACCAACACCACCCACCATACTGTTCTAGACCTCAAGGATGCCTTTTTTACTATCCCCCCTACATCCTGGCTCACAAAACCTCTTTGCCTTCACTTGGACTGACCCTGACACGGGACGCTCCCAGCAACTTACCTGGACCGTTCTACCCCAGGGATTTAGAGACAGTCCTCATCTTTTTGGACAGGCCCTAGCTCAGGACTTACAAGAATTAGACCTAGGCAGTTCCACCCTCCTCTAGTACATTAATGATCTCCTTCTCAGCAGCCACTTTGAGGAGGATTCAAAACTTCACACCAACCTCTTACTC